CACAAAACCTTGACCAAACCTTGCCAGAAAACCCTGTCATGTTTATCACTAAGTATTTCGTTGCAATTTCCTGAACGTGTTTTACTAGGCATTGTAACTATGATTTAGGGAGCAATATTCCTTTACAGCGTCTAACTTATGATTTTCATAAGGCAAGGAGCCACCTTGGCGGCTTGCTAGACTAGCGGTGATTGGCTGCAGCTTAAGTTAGCGATATCCAATGAAACAATTTAAGGTATGGTGTAGTTCACAGAGCGGCAGGCACCTGGGCCGTTCACTCTGAGGCTATCAGCGTAATTTCTGATAATCACGCTATTCGCAATATTAAATAATAAATAAGCAATAAGCACATTTAACCCTTTGCATGTAAGTTCGAACACGCACACACACATACACATGAGCCACAGAGATATTAGAAAAGAACTTTTTTAGTGTCAGAGTGGTTGACAAAGGGAATGCATTAGGAAGTGATGTGGTGGAGGCTGACTCCATACACAGTTTCAAGTGTAGATATGATAGAGCCCGATAGGCTCAGGAGCCTGTACACCTGTTGATTGACAGTTGAGAGGCGGGACCAAAGAGCCAGAGCTCAACCCCCGCAAGCACAACTAGGTGAGTACTAGGTGAGTACACACACACACACACACACACACACACACACACACACACACACACACACACACACACACACACACACACACACACACACACACAGTTTCACACCCACACACACCACACACCAAAGAGCCACTCAACACACACAATTAGGTGAGTACACACACACACACACACGCTACAAGAAGTACCGACCTGCTTGAGAATGTTGGTGGCCTCCTTGGAGAGGAACTTGGGGTAGAAGGGCTCGTCATTGCAGATTAGCCAGAAGAGGTGGTCCTCGTCACAGCCCTTGAAGGGGGACTTGCCCGTCAACATCTCATACAGAAGGACCCCGAAGCTCCACCAGTCCACACACTGGTTGTAGTGGAGACCCTTGATCACCTGGAGAACGAGTAGGTGTTAAATGATCGTCACGTAACGCACGCACACACACTCACGCACACGCAACACTGCTCACCTCTGGCGCCATGTAGTCAGGTGTACCACAGAAGGTGTCGGCGTAGCGGTCTAGATACACCTGGAGTTTACACATGCCGAAGTCTGCGATCCTTATGTGTCCCTGGTAATCGAGGAGGATGTTGTCCAGCTTCAAGTCCCTGTACACACATACACATGTATCACACACATGGCTAAGATATGTGTAACACATATTTACATACATATATAAACAACATCACCTGTATCTTAAGCATTGAAGTCAAACTTTTAATAAAGGCCAGAGGATTCTTTCCCACACACACACCTGTATATTATGCCTTTGCTGTGAAGGAACTTGAGCCCTGATGTTATCTCGGCAGCGTAGAAGCAAGCTCTGAACTCGTCGAAGCGCCCACAGTGCTGTATGTGGAACATCAGGTCCCCACCCGTAAGGTACTCCATCACGAAGAACAGGTGCGACTGTGGGAGGCAGAACAGGGAACGTCAACAGCATTGATCTAGGGGGCTCACCATAGCCCGTGCTACTTGGAACTTTTTGTTCCAAGTAGCGACTCTTAAACAACAACAGCATTGAATTCTGAAGCGAATAGAGGGATAGGCGAGAGAAAAGAACAGAGAACAAGAGAGAATAGTGAAATAAACATCAGGGAATAAGGAGGACAGATAAAAAACATTGAATATTCTACAAGAAAAGAGGAAATATTTTGTATTAATCACACACTGATTAATCACTGTAAATAATTAATCCTACAGTGTGAGGATTAATTAGTGCGGAATTCCGCATTTTCTTAACAATATTATTTTGGTGAAGATCTCCGGCAATCTTAATAGCAATGCTAGACTCTAATTCTTGATCTTCTTAACTCGAGCAAGAATTTGATTTTGAAAAATGTAATGTTTTGCCGGGTTTGATACTTTGAACTTGTCTGTCACGGGTTCATTTTGAATGTTTTCATTTTCATATCTAAATCTAACAATCTAAATTCTAACGTAATTTAACATAGTCTAAAACTATGCTTAATTCTAAGCTATTCTAGTCTAAAACCTGTCGTAATCTAACCTAATTTAACATATATTAGCATATTCTAGCCTAACTTAACCGTACATAAGCTAGCCTTATGTACGGTTAGCCGGTCGGCCGAGCGGACAGCACGCTGGACTTGTGATCCTGTGGTCCTGGGTTCGATCCCAGGCGCCGGCGAGAAACAATGGACAGAGTTTCTTTCACCCTATGCCCCTGTTACCTAGCAGTAAAATAGGTACCTGGGTGTTAGTCAGCTGTCACGGGCTGCTTCCTGGGGGTGGAGGCCTGGTCGAGGACCGGGCCGCGGGGACACTAAAGGCCCCGAAATCATCTCAAGATAACCTCAAGATAGCCTTATCTAACCTAAACTTACCTAACCTAACCTTACCTAACCCAACCTAATCTAACCTAACCTAACCCAACTCTGGAAAAGAATCTCACTGAACAAGGCATTCGATCCCCATTTTACCAACTACATCTAGAAGATCATGAGAATTCCCCCCCCCCCCCACAACGCCACCCCCCCTCTACCACCCCCTCCCCCCTAACACCCCTGAAATCACCCCAAACAACATTTCTAACGCGAAAATGAAGGCCGCTAATTAGCTTTTCAGAGACGCGGCCCATTATCTTTCTTCTCTTATTTACGTGTCCACTCCACCTCTCGCCTCGGCCGCCGGTGACGCGAGTGGCCTAATTATCACGGCTGCAGGACACGGGTCGTTGACCTACTTACTCTTGGAGATGTCTTGGAGTTTCCCCCTTGGAGACGTGTTGTTGTTTGCTTGGAGTTGCTTTTGTAGTTAGTAATGAGATGGAGACCTTGGAGATATCTTGTAATTACTTTGGAGATGTTTCCTAGTTTCCTTGGAGTTGTCTTGGAGTTTTCTTGGAGATATCTTGGAATTTCCTTGGAGATATGTTGTAATTTCCTTGGAGATATCTTGTAGTTTCCTTGGAGATATCTTGTAGTTTCCTTGGAGATATCTTATAGTTTCCTTGGAGATATCTTGTAGTTTCCTTGGAGATATCTTGTAGTTTTCTTGGAGATATCTTATAGTTTCCTTGGAGATATCTTGTAGTTTCCTTGGAGATACCTTATAGTTTCCTTGGAGATATCTTGTAGTTTCCTTGGAGATATCTTGTAGTTTCCTTGGAGATATCTAGTAATTTCCTTGGAGATATCTAATAGTTTCCTTGAAGATGTTTGTCTGTCTGTCTCTCATATACCTCTTGGCTTCAGAGAGTAACAACAAATAAAAGTGCTAACCACCCCCCCCCCCCCTCACATACTCATAAATAAAATGGACACACTCACTATTGCCTCAAAACAAACTTTATTTGACTTCTACCTTCCACTTGCTTTATTGGGGTCTGATCATCAGTTTCGTTTGAATTCCTCCCTAGTTACCATCACGAGGTATATGTTAGGATGTTACTGGTTCTCGTTTTCTGTTCAGGTGTTTGATACTAAAGTTATTTTAGGGATTGAATCCCTAAGTGGGATAAAGTACTTAATAAATATTAAGTTGAGAGTAAATTATAATAAATATATAATATAATTATATTATAATTATAATAAATTATAATATAATATATAATATATTATATATAATGTTCGTATAGGTAATAGTGACAGCCTGTATTATTGATTGGGTTTGAGGTGTTTGGCAGATCCGTTTGGGGGCAACAAATCGTCCCTGTGTTTAATATTTGTATCTGCTGGATAAGGATGTTAGCTCTAGGGCCCCGCCTTTCTAATCGTTGGTTGTCTATTGTACTGACTCCCGTCCTATTTTTTTCTCTATCACATCTGCTACATATATATTTCTCTCTCTCTCTCTCTCTGTCTCTCTGTCTCTCTCTCTCTCTCTCTCTCTCTCTCTCTCTCTCTCTCTCTCTCTCTCTCTCTCTCTCTCTCTCTCTCTCTCTCTCTCTCTCTCTCTCTCTCTCTCTCTCTCTCTCTCTCTCTCTCTCTCTCTCTCTCTCTCTCTCTCTCTCTCTCTCTCTCTCTCTCTCTCTCTCTCTCTCTCTCTCTCTCTCTCTCTCTCTCTCTCTCTCTCTCTCTCTCTCTCTCTCTCTCTCACTCACACACACACACACACATAATAGTGTGTTTTAACCAATGAACCACTGACAGTTGGTTGATTAATTGACAGTTGAGAGGCGGGCCGAAAGAGCAGAGCTCAATCCCCGCAAGCACAAGTAGGTGAATACAACTAGGTGAATACATGCCCCAGGAAGCAGTCCGTAACAGCTGTCTAACTCCCAGGTACCTATTTACTACTAGGTGAACAGGGGAATCAGGTTGAAACTCTGCTCATTTTTTCTGCATCGGCCGTGTGTGTGTGTGTGTTTGTTTCTTTGTGTGTGTGTGTGTACTCACCTATATGTACTCACCTATATGTGCTTGCAGGATCGAGCATTGACTCTTGGATCCCGCCTTTCGAGCATCGGTTGTTTACAGCAATGACTCCTGTCCCATTTCCCTATCATACCTGGTTTTAAAATTATGAATAGTATTTGCTTCCACAACCTGTTCCTGAAGTGCATTCCATTTCCCCACTACTCTCACGCTAAAAGAAAACTTCCTTACATCTCTGTGACTCATCTGAGTTTCAAGCTTCCATCCATGTCCTCTCGTTATGTTACTATTCCGTGTGAACATTTCGTCTATGTCCACTCTGTCAATTCCTCTGAGTATCTTATACGTTCCTATCATGTCCCCCCTCTCCCTTGTGTGTGTGTGTGTGTGTGTGTGTGTGTGTGTGTGTGTGTGTGTGTGTGTGTGTGTGTGTGCGTGCGTGTGTGTGTGTGTGTGTGTGTGTGTGTGTGCGTGCGTGCGAGCGTTCGTGCGCGTGCGAGAACATAAATAACACTGAACTCGCCTCAAAAAAAAATTTAAGACAAGCAAAAATACAGTCTAGTTTTACCTTTGATATAAAAAGGTGATAAGGACTAGATTATCATTTTTACGATGGAAATATAACCCTTGGCTGCGTCCCAAGTCCACAGGCGCACACACACACACTCTGCGCCTCCTGGAACTGGGCCAGGCCTCTCTCTCTCTCACATGATAAGGCTATACATACATGCTCCAGGGGTGTTCCTTGGGTGTTCCTTGGATGTTCCTTGGATGTTCCTTGGATGTTCCAGGTATAAAATAGTGGTTAAAACATCACTTTATCTCCCATTTATAACCACCACAACACCTCTACCGTTCAGGAGCTCCCAGATGGCTAAAATTATATATAACAAGTGTTCTGCCACTGAACAATATGTTCACTCAAGCCCTCGGCCCCGCGAACTGCTGAAGTGGATGAGTAACTTAACCATCTTGAACTTAGAACTGCTTAGTAGCTGCTAGAACTTAGAACAGAGAACTTTAGCTGTCGCCACATCTAGGTAAATACCCCCCCCCCCTCCCCCACGAGACTTAGATTAGACATGGTGGGGTTAGACATGGTTTGAATAATTATTGGAATTATCAGTCAGCAGCTCAAGGAGGGAAGCCACAGACAGGCGATGACTTAGATCTCAAACTGTCTTTCATAATTAGTTTAAGAAAAGATGTTGAAATAGAATCATTGGCTAAGCGTTGATGTTGTTTAATTGTTGTTGTTGTTGTTGTTTAAGATTCGCTACCTGGAACAAGAAATTCCAAGTAGCACGGGCTATGGTGAGCCCGTTTTTTTTTAGCGTTGATGTACTGGAGAATCAATGGTAATTATAGCACAGGTATTCAAGTTTTTTTGTTTTTTTTTACGTCTATAAAGGGAGCCGGTCGGCCGAGCGGACAGCACGCTGGACTTGTGATCCTGTGGTCCTGGGTTCGAACCCAGGCACCGGCGAGAAACAATGGACAGAGTTTCTTTCACCCTATGCCTCTGTTACCTAGCAGTAAAATAGGTACCTGGGTGTTAGTCAGCTGTCACGGGCTGCTTCCTGGGGGGGTGGAGGCCTGGTCGAGGACCGGGCCGCCGGGACACTAAAAAGCCCCGAAATCATCTGAAGATAACCTCAAGATACCCACCTGATTTATTTATGGATTTATTAATTTTTATACAAGAAGGTACATTGGGTTTATGAGAGTACATAGCACTGATGTTTTTACATTCTTATAAAGTCACTGACACGTATAGCGTTTCGGGCAAAATCGGGCGTTTCGGGCGGGTTTCGGGGTCAGGAAGAAAACCCACTGTTACTTCAAGAACAATAATTAACAACAGTTTACCCGCTAAACACACACCGAAACTACGACGTTGGTACAACGTTCGAACAAGTTTTAACACCTCCTAACCAGTTATAATAACCAATATATTAAGTTGTAACAACGTTCTAATACGTCATAAACACGTTAGGCCAAGATGTGACAACTTTATTACAAGTTGTAACAAGCGGAACATAGAGACAGTATAGGTTTGTGTTTGCAGGGTAGTGAATGCCAGTTGTATCTTCTAGCTAGAAATTTCTTAAAAGGCTATTGGGTGTTGACAGTTCAAAGTAGTTATAACTTAAGTGCAGTAATTGCCTTAAGTCATTGATCTAGGAATCTTTTATCACACCTGATATCACCCATCTCGGACTGACGCCTGACCGTCAGTGAACTATGAACTCGTCTCCTGTGTTAACTATCCCACCGTCACCTCCCAAAACACCTCCGTGACGCCTGGCTGGACAATAGGATCCTCTGAGCCCCACACACACACTGGTGAGGGAGGAAGGTCTCCAGAAAGACCTCTGGAGACATCTCCAAGTAACCCAGAGATATTCCAAACTCGCACCAAAATTTTACAATCGATCTAGATATCTAAAAATAATATCTAAGAGTCGTTAAAGAGAAATTTCCTCTAAATTTTCTCAATAAAGGGATGTTACAGAAATGTTCCACTGTGGGTGTTATAGGGACTTTCAAAGATGAATAGAGATGCTTCGTTTGTGTTCAAACCAACTTGAATGATCCAGGGAGCTTCGGGACCCTCCAAACCTGTCGTTAGAATGCTGGAAAACATCCACACAGTGATGCACGAGGCGTAAACAAGGTGTTCAAAACAGTTTTCAAGTCTGCAACTGAAAACTCCACACCCCCAGAAGGATTCGAACCCAGACAGCCAGGAGCACTAAGCACCTGACGTACCTGGTTCCTTAACCACTCGACCCTCAGTGACTTTAGTTTTCAAGTCCCTCTACATACATACCGTAGAGATGTTATGGAAATGGTGTTGGTGTAGACCTCTATAGTCTTGTATCATACAGTAGATGTAGTCTTGTATCATACAGTAGATGTAGTCTTGTATCATACAGTAGATTAGGAAGTATTTATGAGCCAAGTCACCGGCTCTTGGCCCGGCTCTTGACAAGAGCTCACGAGAGAGCTCGGACACCGTCCTCGGGGAAGGTTGTCCAGAGACTAACACTTCCTGGATTGAAACTGAGTCGGTATAGCTTTGAGAAACCAAGGAGGCAATTGAGCGTCGGTGTTGATGGGTTGTGCGGCCGACGGGCTTCCTCAAGGAACGTACGGTCCGGGAACGTATGGTCCAGGAACGTATGGTCCAGGAACGCACGGCCCAGGAACGCACGGCCCAGGAACGCACGGCCCAGGAACGCACGTTCCTGGGCCGTGCGTTCCTGGGCCGTGCCGTGTGCTGCCTTCCTGGGCCATTTCTGCCCAGGAAGGCAGAAATGGGTGTTGTTGACCTTGTAGGGAGCATTCCAACGAAGAACTTGTGGAAAAAGTCCAGAAGAGCCATGGCTGAGGGGAATGTTTTAGGAGGAAAGTTGTGAGGAGGAAGATCCAGGAGCACCATGGCAGTGAGGTTCCAGGGGGGAGACCTCCCGAAGAACGTTCCAGGTTCCAGCGTCCCGCTGCTCTCTCCGCTCGGCTGGATAAGATCGGACACAGAACAATTATCGTCATAAGCAACGCTCTAGAGACCAGTTGTTCTGCCCCGCATCAGCACAAGAGAGGAGAGTAACAGTGAGGTAGATCAACAGGACAGGCCACCGGGTAGGCGGGCCTGTATTAAAAATGTGGCTCCGGTCTTCAGAACCTCACAGTGAATTCTGTAGAGTTTTGGGTCGATTGGCTTTTGTCTTAATTGTATCTGAGTGGGGTTAAGAAAGGTGTCTGGGAATGACCAGAACGCTGCTTCAAGTCGCCTCATTGACTTAAAATAGTTTTTACTCATTCATATATATAAATATATATATATATATATATATAAGACACCAGCAGATATATATATATATATATATATATATATATATATATATATATATATATATATATATATATATATATATATATATATATATATATATATAAACTAAAGTCTTTGAAAATGTAATAAGTTTTACGAAACGCGCTCAAGTGTCGCATCAGACTAGAAATAAAAATGAATTTTGGAGAATTGATTTTTGAATTACCACCAACAGTGAAAAGAAACGTAAGAAAGATCGAGAAAATTCGTGTTAGAATTATTAATCTTACTTTTTCGGTCATATTTAATAATATGTGTGTATATATATATATATATATATATATATATATATATATATATATATATATATATATATATATATATATATATATATATATATATATAAGGTTGAGAATATAGTAGGGAAAATAGGACAAATATAAACTATCGAACAAATGAAATGTTAATTACAAGAAAGGGCTCTCTGGAGACGTCACAGTGTAGCCGGGAGGGAGAGGAAGAGAGATGGGACACACCGGCAGATCTTACCGGAAGACACCAGCTGATCTTACCGGAAGACACCGGCAGATCTTACCGGAAGACACCAGCAGATCTTACCGGAAGACACCAGCAGATCTTACCGGAAGACACCAGCAGATCTTACCGGAAGACACCAGCAGATCTTACCGGAAGACACCAGCAGATCTTACCGGAAGACACCAGCAGATCTTCCCGTGACAGAATCTCACCCCCCCTCCCGATCACGGCGCGCGGGACTCGAACCAGTGTCGTAATTACCTAAACAAGGCCGTTAGACCACCTTACCTTGAGGTTACCTTGAGGTGCTTCCGGGGCTTAGCCTCCCCGCGGCCCGGTCGTCGACCAGGCCTCCTGGTTGCCGGACTGATCAACCAGGCTGTTGGACGCGGCTGCTCGCAGCCTGACGTACGAGTCACAGCCTGGTTGATCAGGTATCCCTTGGAGGTGCTTATCCAGTTCTCTCTTGAACACTGTGAGGGGTCGGCCAGTTATGCCCCTTATGTGTAGTGGAAGCGTGTTGAACAGTCTCGGACCTCTGATGTTGATAGTTCTCTCTTGAACACTGTGAGGGGTCGGCCAGTTATGCCCCTTATGTGTAGTGGAAGCGTGTTGAACAGTCTCGGACCTCTGATGTTGATAGAGTTCTCTCTCAGAGTACCAGTTGCACCTCTGTTTTTCAACGGGGGTATTCTGCACATCCTGCCATGTCTTCTGGTCTCCAAGAATCACGCCAAGAATCTCTTCCTCGATTAATCTAAGAAGCAGTTTCCAAGCACAAGAGAGTCCAGGCAGCTTACAGAGTCGAAAACATGCTTGAAAGTGCTTGAAAGGTAGAAAATGGTGTTCGGAAGGTACAAATTGGTGTTCGAAGGGTAGAAAATGGTGTTCGGAAGGTACAAATTGGTGTTCGAAAGGTAGAAAATGGTGTTCGGAAGGTACAAATCAGTGTTCGAAAGGTAGAAAATGGTGTTCGGAAGGTACAAATCAGTGTTCGGAAGGTCCAAATTGGTGTTCAGAAGGTACAAATCGGTGTTCGAAAGGTAGAAAATGGTGTTCGGAAGGTACAAATCAGTGTTCGGAAGGTAGAAAATGGTGTTCGGAAGGTACAAATCAGTGTTCGGAAGGTCCAAATTGGTGTTCAGAAGGTACAAATCGGTGTTCGAAAGGTACAAATTGGTGTTCGGAAGGTACAAATCGGTGTTCGAAAGGTACAAATTGGTGTTTAGAAGGTACAAATCGGTGTTCGGAAGGTACAAATTGGTGTTCGGAAGGTACAAATTGGTGTTCGGAAGGTACAAAATGGTGTTCGGAAGGTACAAATCGGTGTTCGGAAGGTACAAATTGGTGTTCGCAAGGTACAAATCGGTGTTTGGAAGGTACAAATTGGTGTTCGAAAGATACAAATTGGTATTCGGAAGGTACAAAATGGTGTTCGGAAGGTACAAATCGGTGTTCGGAAGGTCCAAATTGGTGTTCGGAAGGTACAAATTGGTGTTCGAAAGATACAAATTGGTGTTCGAAAAGTACAAAATGGTGTTCGGAAGGTCCAAATTGGTGTTCGGATGATACTTACCGGTGTCTGGAAGGTACAGAAGAGGTGGCAGAGGTAGGGATGCTTGGTGCCTAGACTCAGCACCTTCCTCTCGATAAGGGTACACTCGACATCGTTGTCCTCAAGGACCACGTCCTTCTTCAAGCACTTGACAGCGAAGTAGTTCTCCGAGTCCTTCTGCTGCGCCAGCATGACCTGCGGGGCGGGGAAGATAGCGGTCGTCAACCACGCCTCGAGGGCCAAGTTCTGGCTCATACTCGGTGGTAATGTGGGGAGATTGTTGAGGTGATACACACACGCACGCACACACACACACGCACGCGCGCGCACTCACACACACACACACACAAACACACACACACACACACACACACACACACACACACACACACACACACACACACACACACACACACACACACACACACACACACGGGCTGGGAGTCAGATATGTGGGCTGGGAGTCATATATGTGGCCTGGTAGTCATATGTGTGAGCTGGGAGTCATATATGTGGCCTGGTAGTCATATGTGTGAGCTGGGAGTCATATATGTGGCCTGGTAGTCATATATGTGGCCTGGTAGTCATATATGTGGCCTGGTAGTCATATATGTGGCCTGGGAGTCATATATGTGGCCTGGTAGTCATATATGTGGCCTGGTAGTCATATATGTGGCCTGGTAGTCATATATGTGGCCTGGTAGTCATATATGTGGCCTGGTAGTCATATATGTGGCCTGGTAGTCATATATGTGGCCTGGGAGTCATATATGTGGCCTGGTAGTCATATATGTGGCCTGGTAGTCATATATGTGGCCTGGGAGTCATATATGTGCTGGTAGTCATATATGTGGCCTGGTAGTCATATATGTGGCCTGGGAGTCATATATGTGGCCTGGTAGTCATATGTGTGAGCTGGGAGTCATATATGTGAGCTCGGAGTCATATATGTGGCCTGGGAGTCATATATGTGAGCTGGGGTGTCATATGTGTATACAAGCAGGAAAAATGTTCAACCAAGCTATTGTGACTGGCTGTGTGCATGACGCACGAGGCCCAGGATGTTGTAAGCCACAACATTTACTGCAATGAAGATGCAAGTGACGTCACAGGGTCTATAACCGGTCTTCTGTTTGCAACGCTGCAACCCAGCAGCAAGCAAGCAAGCAAGCAAGCAAGCAAGCAAGCAAGCAAGCAAGCTGGGCTAATCCCTGGCATCTCTCTCACTCTAAATATACCTCATCTCCACACGCTAAGCTCCCAGTCCGTCCTCCTAAGGTTGCTACCAACGTCCAGAAAACGGTCAATTTGAAGTAGTCTCTCCTAACCTGCCAGAGGACCCACAACAGAAAACGGGACAGTACGTCACTTTCGCCAGCCGCTTCCATTTTCTAGTACGACGATTTTTGGCCTTATGTGACGCATACGTGCGAAAAGCGACGTTCTTGGTAGGAGGACAGGTTGTAGGAGGACAGGCTGTAGGAGGACAGGTTGTAGGAGGACAGGTTGTAGGAGGACAGGCTGTAGGAGGACAGGTTGTAGGAGGACAGGTTGTAGGAGGACAGGCTGTAGGAGGACAGGCTGTAGGAGGACAGGCTGTAGGAGGACAGGTTGTAGGAGGACAGGCTGTAGGAGGACAGGTTGTAGGAGGACAGGCTGTAGGAGGACAGGTTGTAGGAGGACAGGCTGTAGGAGGACAGGTTGTAGGAGGACAGGCTGTACAAAGACAGGCTGTAGGAGGACAGGTTGTAGGAGGACAGGCTGTAGAAAGACAGGCTGTAGGAGGACAGGTTGCAGAAGGACAGGTTGTAGGAGGACAGGTTGTAGGAGGACAGGCTGTAGGAGGACAGGTTGTAGGAGGACAGGCTGTACAAAGACAGGCTGTAGGAGGACAGATTGTAGGAGGACAGGCTGTACAAAGACAGGCTGTAGGAGGACAGGTTGCAGAAGGACAGGTTGTAGGAGGACAGGTTGTAGGAGGACAGGTTGTAGGAGGACAGGTTGTAGGAGGACAGGCTGTAGGAGGACAGGTTGATGCTTCTACCCAAGTTACCCCTCTATAACCAACATGGGAAATCATCCAATAAGGAGTAACTCGTATATTTTTTATGCCTCAAGCTCAAATATCTTTTTCTGGGAAGAACGTCAAGCGTTCCGAGAGTTGGCAAACGTGGGTGTGATTAATAATAAGAGGAGAATAACACTTAGCATAAGCGAAACGGTTTTCTCCATATCTCTAATGACGTAAGACGCGACAACTATCGGACAATTAGCAGTGCCACGGGTGGTAATTTTACTATGATAGTCAGTGTGTAAACCATTATAGGTAGTGTCTTGACTACTGCTCCTCTGCTTCTTGCTCCTGATCCTACTCATAATCCTCTCTGCACCAACTTTACTGCTTTCATCTTTTATGCCCAGTTGGCACTGCCTTCTGCCTCTCACCCCTTCCCTCGCTACCAAACTCCTACTCCCTCACAACCACTCATCACTGCATTCATCTTTCACTAACAAACTACATTAATAGAAGCTAATATGAATGCTTAGAAAGTTGTGGAAACAGTGTGTCCAAGAAGATCCTTAAGTTATGATATACAAATGCTGATGGAGTTACAAGCAAGACAGAGGAAATAAAAGAAAGGGAAATAAAATATGAACCTGATTTAATTGCAATAGTTAAATGATTTCTGATGCCATATTTCCAACGAGACATCAATTAAATAGTAAGGAAATAAACAATGCCAAGACAAAAAGGGAGACACACTCCTAGTCAAATGAGAGTGGAAGTTCGAGGAACTAGAAAATCAGAACGCAAATACATACAGAGCCTCCATCACTTGGACTGTGACAACAGATGGGATAAGGATATTGGTCCTGTTACTTCACCATCTCCCAAGAAACAACAAAAGATCCAGACAGGATTATGGTAAGAACAGGTCATACCTTGCGGTTACCTTGAGGTGCTTCCGGGGCTTAGCGTCCCCGCGGCCCGGTCGTCGACCGGGCCTCCTGGTTGCTGGACTGATCAACCAGGTTGATGGACGCGGCTGCTCGCAGCCTGACGTATGAGTCACAGCCTGGTTGATCAGGTATCCTTTGGAGGTGCTTATCCAGTTCGCCATCTATCATCATGCATAGATGAATTGTAGAGCAGCAGCAGCAACAGCTGCACTCACAGTAAGAGCTAGATTTCTAGTCATGGGGGACCTAAATCACGGAAATACAGACTGGGAATCTAGAACCACCCCCCCCCCCCATGCTGGGGAAGAAACATGGCGAACGAAACTAGTGGAAGTTGTAGAAAGAAACTGTTTAACACAGCGTGTCAAATCTATCTCACAAAAAAGGGAGGAGACACACCACGTCGACCGCACCTGATCACCCAGAATGAGGAAGAATGAGAACTGAGAACAACCGGAGGAAGCGGAGGAAATACAGAGGTCAAAGGGCAAAGGAAAACTGGAAGAGATACCACAGAACCAGGAGGGAGAGAGGGAATTATCAGGGGGAAAGCGCCAAGCAATTACGACTATATAGCACTTGGAAGGGGTCAGGATAAGGATTTGGGATGGGACGGTGGGGAGGAAACTAGGTGGTGGACACAGGAGGCCAGACACAGGATACAGAATGGGAGATAAAGTCCTTCATGAAACGGACAGAGAGAAAGATCTAGGAGTTAATATCATGCCAAACCTGTCTCTTTGAAGCCCACATAAAAAGAATAACATCTGCGGCATATGCGAGGCTGGCTAACATCAGAACAGCGTTCAGGAACCTGTGTAAGGAATCTTTCAGAACCTTGTATACCACATATGTAAGGCCAATCCTGGAGTATGCGGCCCCAGCATGGAGCCCGTACCTTGTCAAGCACAAGACGAAGCTGTATAAAGTTCAGAGGTATGCCACTAGGCTAGTCCCAGAACTAAGAGGCATGAGTTACGAGGAAAGGCTGCGTGAACTGGACCTCACGTCGCTAGAAGACAAAAGGGCTCGGGGAGACATGCTCACCATATACAAAATTCTCAGGGGAATTGACAGGGTAGACAAGGATGGATTATTTAACACGGGTGGTACACGCACAAGGGGACGCAGGTGGAAGCTGAGTACCGAAATGAGCCACAGAGACATTAGAAAGAACTTGTTTAGTGTCAGAGTAGTTAGTAAATGGAATGCACTAGGCAGTGATGTGGTGGAGGCTGACTCCATACACAGCTTCAAATGTAGATATGATAGAGCCCAATAGGCTCAGGAACCTGTACACCAGTTGATTGATAGTTGAGAGGCGGGACCAAAGAGCCAGAGCTCAACCCTCGCAAGCACATCTAGATGAGTACACACACGCAGGCGCGCACACACGAAACAAAACAAAGTTGATAAAAGATTACTACAATATCATAGTGTATGCATGAAGGTGAACAAATAACTTAGAATCCTTGTTCAGCACACTGTTCACTCCCCTTGACACACAGGATCAACCAATACACTTACACAACTATTGTGTCTTCCCTTCATCTTCACAATTTTTTATTTATTTTTAAATTGTTCTAAAAATTTTCCTCCTTCAGGGACATCTGAAATTAAAGCATAATTTATCTGAAGTTAAGCGGAGGAAAATAGAAACAAACCAGGCATAAAAACAGGTGGAAGAAGAGGGCAACAGGTGAGTGAGAAGAAGGTGATAAACATTGTACAGAAGAATGAGGAGGAGGAGAAGTGCCTCACCTTGCCATAGCTGCCCTTGCCCAGCACCTTGATGAAGTCAAAGTCAGAGACGGTGTACTTCTTAAACTTGGGGCAGGTCTGTAGGGGCGGCCGGATCTCCGGCAGGCCGAAGTAGTCGCCAGAGTCCGTGTCTGTGGTCTCCGTCTCGTCCTCCGTGGTCTCCGCCTCGGACCCGGAGACCGAAGAAGAACATGTCTTGGTGGAGGACGCCAAGGTCCGGCTGGTCCCATCACCACTGCCTGAAGTACACGGAGAGACCTCTTAGTTACTCTTACCAAGGAGAGAGAGAAGAAGAAAGAGAGAGAGGAAGAGGTAGAGAGAGGGGTGAGAGAGAGGGGAGAGAGAGAGAGAGAGAGTACAAGAGGCTGAAGGTGAGAGATAAATCTGAGGCAGGGTGAATGTGTGTGTGCAGGAGTCGAGAGGTAATGGCTCTATAAATTAGAGTCACGCTGGGGGAGGGAAGAGCCATAAGACAGGCAACTTGAAGCAGTCGAGATGCCTTGCTGGGAAGGGAGGTGGTGGTGCTGGGAGGGTAGGTGGTGATGCTGGGAGGGTAGGTGCTGCTGCTGGGAGGGTAGGTGCTGCTGCTGGGAGGGTAGATGATGCTGCTGGGAGAGGGGAAGGAGCTAGGAGAGGGTAGGGAGACTACAGTTATGGCCCTGCTTGAGGAGAGATCCATCAGAGATAGCAATCTAGAGAAATCGCAGACCCTTAGAAGGAACGCCCTGCTGTTCCAGACTGTCCCAGACTCACTGTCCCGGGCTGAAGGGATAGGGGTTAGGCTGAGGGAGAGGGAGAGGCAGGCAGAGCGAGAGAGATATCGACAGCCAGATATATGGACACACATCAGACAGGTAAACAGAGATAGATAATCTCTCAGATTATCGAGAGACAGAAGCATCAAGAAAGATGGCCCTAAACAGCAGGGACAAAGATGTGCGGCATCTATACCCCAAGGCATCATGCACGCCTTGCAACCCGCACGCACACTCACACTCACACATGCACGCACACACTTACACATGCACGCACACACGCATACACACATTACAGTGAACGCTTACACCACCGTCTCACAGCCAGCCTGGTCCGTTCCCCCTCAGTATCTTGTACGTAGTGAGCATATCCTCTCTATTCCTTCTCCCATCAACAGCTGTCAGAGCTCTCCTTGTAGCTTTGTCCTCTTGTCTCTGGTATTGGCCTTTATAATCATCTGAACATTATCACGTTTTCCTTTTTTGAAGGGGCACTCTACTGGGTATGACTTCCATGTCAGTGCTGCATAATCTATGTCTGGTCTAACATAGGTTGTGTAAATGATGATGTAATTTCCTTATTTAGAACTATAAATTCCACTGAAATGTTTGCTTCATACACGATAGTTAAGGTATACTGGTATACCTAAGTCAGCAGTGCCCAACAGTACCGGTCAGTAGTGCCCAACAGTAGGGGTCAGTAGTGCCCAACAGTAGGGGTCAGTAGTGCCCAACAGTAGGGGTCAGTAGTGCCCAACAGTAGAGGTCAGTAGTGCCCAACAGTAGAGGTCAGTAATGCCCAACAGTAGGGGTCAGAAGTGCCCAACAGTAGGGGTCAGTAGTGCCCAACAGTAGAGGTCAGTAATGCCCAACAGTAGAGGTCAGTAATGTCCAACAGTAGGGGTCAGTAATGCTCAACAGTAGGGGTCAGTAGTGCCCAACAGTAGAGGTCAGTAGTGCCCAACAGTAGGGGTCAGTAGTGCCCAACAGTAGAGGTCAGTAGTGCCCAACAGTAGGGGGTCAGTAGTGCCCAACAGTAGGGGTCAGTAGTGCCCAACAGTAGAGGTCAGTAGTGCCCAACAGTAGAGGTCAGTAATGCCCAACAGTAGAGGTCAGTAATGCCCAACAGTAGGGGTCAGTAGTGCCCAACAGTAGGGGTCAGTAATGCCCAACAGTAGGGGTCAGCAGTGCCCAACAGTACGGGTCAGTAGTGCCAAACAGTAAGGGTCAGTAGTGCCCAACAGTAAGGGTCAGTAGTGCCAAACAGTAAGGGTCAGTAGTGCCCAACAGTAGAGGTCAGTAGTGCCCAACAGTAGGGGTCAGTAGTGCCCAACAGTAGGGGTCAGTAATGCCCAACAGTAGGGGTCAGCAGTGCCCAACAGTACGGGTCAGTAGTGCCAAACAGTAGGGGTCAGTAGTGCCCAACAGTAGGGGTCAGTAGTGGCAACAGTAGGGGTCAGTAGTGCCCAACAGTAGGGGTCAGTAATGCCCAACAGTAGGGGTCAGTAGTGCCCAACAGTAGAGGTCAGTAATGCCCAACAGTAGGGGGTCAGTAGTGCCCAACAGTAGAGGTCAGTAGTGCCCAACAGTAGGGGTCAGTAGTGCCCAACAGTAGGGGGTCAGTAATGCCCAACAGTAGGGGTCAGTAATGCCCAACAGTAGGGGTCAGTAGTGTCCAACAGTAGGGGTCAGTAGTACCCAACAGTACGGGTCAGTAGTGCCCAACAGTAGGGGTCAGTAATGCCCAACAGTAGGGGTCAGTAATGCCCAACAGTAGGGGGTCAGTAATGCCCAACAGTAGGGGTCAGTAGTGCCCAACAGTACGGGTCAGTAGTGCCCAACAGTAGGGGTCAGTAATGCCCAACAGTAGGGGGTCAGTAGTGCCCAACAGTAGAGATCAGTAGTGCCCAACAGTAGGGGTCAGTAGTGCCCAACAGTAGGGGGTCAGTAATGCCCAACAGTAGGGGTCAGTAATGCCCAACAGTAGGGGGTCAGTAATGCCCAACAGTAGGGGTCAGTAGTGCCCAACAGTACGGGTCAGTAGTGCCCAACAGTAGGGGTCAGTAATGCCCAACAGTAGGGGGTCAGTAGTGCCCAACAGTTGAGATCAGTAGTGCCCAACAGTAGGGGTCAGTAGTGCCCAACAGTAGGGGGTCAGTAATGCCCAACAGTAGGGGGTCAGTAATGCCCAACAGTAGGGGGTCAGTAATGCCCAACAGTAGGGGTCAGTAGTGCCCAACAGTACGGGTCAGTAGTGCCCAACAGTAGGGGTCAGTAATGCCCAACAGTAGGGGGTCAGTAGTGCCCAACAGTATAGGTCAGTAGTGCCCAACAGTAGGGGTCAGTAGTGCCAACAGTAGAGGTCAGTAATACCCAACAGTAGGGGTCAGCAGTGCCCAACAGTAGGGGTCAGAAGTGCCCAACAGCAGAGCCAGAAGTACCACTAGTTACAAGAGACTTAACTAGCTATTTAATCATAGTTGATGCATCAGGACAGCCTTATAGACAGGTCTGCTGTACCACGGGGGCCTCAATGGACTCGTCTGCTGTCTAAGAAGAAAGCAGACTGCTCTGCCGCCCGAAGAAAACACAGGAAGTCGCACATAAACCAGCAGACACACACACACACACACACACACACTGGACAGGATTCTTCAGAGGCCAGAAGGAGGAGGTTAAGGCGCTCTCCTCCGTATGAAAGTTGGACCATAAACACCGGCCAGCAGATCTTTTAGCTCCCCCGGCCAGGAAAGGTTTACAAATGGCTGGCAAAAATACGTTTAAGTACGAGGAGAAAGAATATTTACACAAAGGAGGAGCTAGAGGCTGACTGAAACAGCTCTTGTTAGTGGGGGACGTTAGCAGGAAAACTTGGGGAATATTGACAGGGAAACTGGGGGAATATTGACAGGGGAAACTGAGGGAATCTTGGCAGGGGTAGGGGAACTAAGAGTGAGCTACTGAGAGACAGCACCTCCTACAGGGGGGAGGAATTTTGACATACGAGCAGCATCATAAAGGCTGAATCAAGTCTGAGAATATCTAGCAACGTAAGAGACTTGAGACGTGAATCTTTGACGAAATAAAGTCTTTAAAGTTCACAACGTAATAGTTGCATGAGGGAGAGACTTGGGTCATCACCTTCCTGACATATATTGACTCCTGAAACAGGCCTGATAATACTCATATGATACCCACTGACCCCTTCAAATGACCTGATTATACATATAGACTAATTAAATATCCATGATGGAACATACATAAATTAATAAGCCTTGATATGTAGCTCTGATGCTACATATTTACCCTTAACAGTCAATATTGATTCCTTAATCATCAATGATGGAGCATATTGACCTCATACATATCTAGTAATGGTATATTGACTTAATAAACAACAGAAATGAAACATTAACTTTCAGAATGAAACATTAACCTTCAGGATGAAACATTAACCTTCAAGATGAAACATTAACCCTCAGAATGAAACATTAACCCTCAGGATGAAACAGACTCGTAACACAATACTACGGTTGAGAGTGAATGAAACTATGGATATTCTTTAGCCAGGATGAGGAGCTAAAGCTCAACCCTTGTAGTTACATCCAGGTGACTACGTTAACACACACACACACACACACACACACACACACACACACACACACACACACACACACACACACACACACACATATTTCATATTTCATATTTTCATATATGCACACATATTTCATATTTTCATATATGCACACACTGCATATTTCTTGACTGCCAAAAGGCCTTTGATACGGTACCGCACATGAGACTGCTATACAAACTTGAGAGGCAGGCAGGAGTAAGCGGAAAGGCCCTAGTATGGGTGAAGAACTACCTAACAGGAAGGAGCCAGAGGGTAATGGTAAGGGCGAAAAGTCGGACTGGCGAACAGTAACAAGTGGAGTACCTCAAGGATCGGTGCTGGGACCAATCCTCTTTCTAATTTACGTAAATGATATGTTTACAGGAGTGGAATCATACATGTCAATGTTTGCAGATGACGCAAAATTAATGAGAAGAGTTGTGACAGACGAGGATTGTAGGATCCTCCAAGAGGACTTACACAGGCTGCAGAGATGGTCAGAGAAATGGCTACTGGAGTTTAACACCAGTAAATGTAAAGTTATGGAAATGGGATCAGGTGACAGGAGACCAAAGGGACAGTACACAATGAAGGGGAACAGCCTACCTGTAACGATTCGAGAAAGAGACCTGGGAGTGGATGTGACACCCAATCTAACTCCTGAGGCACATATAAATAGGATAACGACAGCAGCGTACTCTACACTGGCGAAAATTAGAACTTCATTCAGAAACCTAAATGAGGAAGCTTTTAGGGCGCTTTACACTGCCTACGTGAGACCCGTCTTAGAGTATGCCGCGCCATCATGGAGCCCCCACCTGAAGAAACACATAAAGAAACTGGAGAAGGTTCAGAGGTTTGCGACGAGGCTTGTCCCAGAGCTACGAGGGATGGGATATGAAGAGCGGCTGAAGGAACTGAACCTTACGACACTAGAGAAAAGAAGGGAGAGAGGAGATATGATAGGGACATATAAAATACTTAGGGGAATTGACAAAGTGGAAATAGATCAAATGTTCACACGTAATAATAACAGAACGAGGGGACATGGGTGGAAACTGGAAACTCAGATGAGTCACAGAGATGTTAGGAAGTTTTCTTTTAGCGTGAGAGTAGTAGAAAAATGGAATGCACTTGGGGAACAGGTTGTGGAAGCAAATACTATTCATACTTTTAAAACTAGGTATGATAGGGAAATGGGACAGGAGTCATTGCTGTAAACAACCGATAGCTAGAAAGGCGGGATCCAAGAGTCAATGCTCGATCCTGCAAGCACATATAGGTGAGTACATATAGGTGAGTACACACACACACACACACACACACACACACATATCAGAGAATAACAAAGAGCACTTAGAGGAGCCTTGAGATGAAGTGGAAAGTATACTGAAGGAGTTAAGAAGGAACAAAGCAGTTGGCCCCAGATGAAGTTTCCACTTGGGTGCTAAGAGAATGCGCACCAGAGCTCAGCGCTCCACTTCAATGGATTTTTCAGCCGTACAAGAGTCTTGGCAGATAGATGAGAAATGACACACTTTTCCACTCTACAAAAATGGTAGCAGGGAAGACCCTCTTAATTATAGACACTTATAGGAGTCAAAATAAAAGTACCAAGTGTAGCAGTACAAAAATTAGACGAAATATAATTAATACCAAATAGATAAAACACCTGGAGAAATATAACCCACCAGACAGACTGAATGATTTTCTACCAGGAAGATCCTGTGTAACAAATCTAGTTAGTTTCAGACAGTTATCTTGAGGTTATCTTGAGATGATTTCGGGGCTTTAGTGTCCCCGCGGCCCGGTCCTCGACCAGGCCTCCACCCCCAAGAAGCAGCCCGTGACTGCTGACTAACACCCAGGTACCTATTTTACTGCTAGGTAACAGGGGCATAGGGTGAAAGAAACCCTGCCCATTGTTTCTCGCCGGCGCCTGGGATCGAACCCAGGACCACAGGATCACAAGTCCAGCGTGCTGTCCGCTCGGCCGACCGGCTCCCCTAGATACAGAATGGATCGGTAAACTGTTTTTTCTTGAGCTGTCAGCAAGCTTTTTGATACAGTAACCCATCAGAGTTGCATAGACTGGGAAAACAGACTGGAGTAACAGGGTTAGGTGCTCAGTCTATAAGGGAGTAAATAAACAGCCGGATGCCACCAGTGGAGTCCCACAGGGCTCTGTACTCAGACCCATCCTGTTTCTGATATATGTAAATGATCTTCCAGAGGGGTTTAGTCTCATTCCTCTTAATGTTTGATGATGATGGTAAAATTATGAGAACGATTAAGACAGAGGACATCAGGAGAATACAAAATGACTTGGGGCCAGATTCACGAAGCAGTTACGCAAGCACTTACGAACCTGTATATCTATTTCCAATCTTTGACGGCTTTGTTTACAATTATTAAACAGTTAGTGAGCTCCGAAGCACCAGGAGGCTGTTTATAACAATAACAACAGTTGATTGGCAAGTTTTGATGCTTGTAAACTGTTTAATAAATGTAACCAAAGCCGTCAAAGATTGAGGAAAGATGTACACGTTCGTTAGTGCTTGCGTAACTGCTTTGTGAATCTGGCCCCCCTGGACAGACTGAAGGAATGGTCCAACAAATGGCTACTAGAGTTTAGTGTACTCAACTAGGTGAGTACAACTAGACGAGTACACACAGGAACAAGTCCACACGCTGGACTTGTGATCCTGTGGTCCTGGGTTCGATCCCAGGCGCCGGCGAGAAACAATGGGCAGAGTTTCTTTCACCCTATGCCCCTGTTACCTAGCAGTAAAATAGATACCTGGGTGTTAGTCAGCTGTCACGGGCTGCTTCCTGGGGGTGGAGGCCTGGTCGAGGACCGGCCCGCGGGGACACTAAAAAGCCCCGAAATCATCTCAAGATAACCTCAAGATAGGAATACTCACCCCCTTTCTTGACGGAGGAGAGCGCCTCGGCAAGCAGTTTCTGGTTGACGCCGCAAAGGTTCGGCATCTGCTTCTCACACTTCTTGTGACAGTTGGTGCCACACACTGCCGGGAGAACGAGGCACTTATTACACCTTCATCATATAAATTACCTGTCGAGACATGCGCGTATAATGTGAAATACGGGCGTATAATGTGAAATCCGGGCGTATAATGTGAAATACGGGCGTATAATGTGAAATACGGGCGTATAATGTGAAATACGGGCGTATAATGTGAAATACGGGCGTATAATGTGAAGTACGGGCGTATAATGTGAAATACGGGCGTATAATGTGAAATACGGGCGTATAATGTGAAATACGGGCGTATAATGTGAAATACGGGCGTATAATGTGAAATACGGGCGTATAATGTGAAATAATTCTTGGGATCTATAATGTCTTTTTTTTTAGTCAATCGACAAAAGCCTGGATATGAAATGGGTTTCGTTATATATAATATATTTTGTGTTCTATAATACTCTGCATGCTCTCAGAGCTCACCTCACCTAATATAACTTTGCTGTCCTAAAAGTTAAATCATTACTAAAGTTCATTTGTACAAGTAAATGTAGGTTGATTTGCAATAGGAACGATTATGTATGGGCACACATATACACACACACACCTAGTAGGGGGGCCTCGTAGCCTGGTGGATAGCGCGCAGGACTCGTAATTCTGTGGCGCGGGTTTGATTCCCGCACGAGGCAGAAACAAATGGGCAAAGTTTCTTTCACCCTGAATGCCCCTGTTATCTAGCAGTAAATAGGTACCTGGGAGTTAGTCAGCTGTCACGCGCTGCTTCCTGGGGTATATGTGTGTGTGTGTGTGGTGTGGAAAAAAAAAGTAGTTAGTAAACAGTTGATTGACAGTTGAGAGTCGGGCCGAAAGAGCAAAGCTCAACCCCCGCAAACACAACTAGGTGAATACAACTAGGTGAATATACACACATACACACAGACGTAGTCCTAATGACCCGGGTGCGATTCCCGGCCGTGCCCGAAACAAATGGGCATAGTTTCTTTCACCCTGATGCTCTGTTCACCTAGCAGTAAATAAGTACCTGAGAGTTAAACAGCTGCTACGGGCTGCTTCCTGGGGATGTGTGTGTGTGTGTGTGTGTGTGTGTGTGTGTGTGTGTGTGTACTCACCTATATGTGCTTGCAGGATCGAGCATTGACTCTTGGATCCCGCCTTTCGAGCATCGGTTGTTTACAGCAATGACTCCTGTCCCATTTCCCTATCATACCTGGTTTTAAAATTATGAATAGTATTTGCTTCTACAACCTGTTCCTGAAGTGCATTCCATTTCCCCACTACTCTCACGCTAAAAGAAAACTTCCTTACATCTCTGTGACTCATCTGAGTTTCAAGCTTCCATCCATGTCCTCTCGTTCTGTTACTATTCCGTGTGAACATTTCGTCTATGTTCACTCTGTCAATTCCTCTGAGTATCTTATACGTTCCTATCATGTCCCCCCTCTCCCTTCTTCTTTCTAGTGTCGTAAGGCACAGTTCCCTCAGGCGCTCTTCATACCCCATCCCTCGTAGCTCTGGGACGAGTCTCGTTGCAAACCTCTGAACCTTTTCCAGTTTCATTATATGCTTCTTCAGATGGGGACTCCATGATGAGGCGGCATACTCTAAGACTGGCCTTACGTAGGCAGTGTAAAGCGCCCTAAATGCCTCCTTACTTGTGTGTGTGTGTGTGTGTGTGTGTGTGTGTGTGTGTGTGTGTGTGTGTGTTAGAGTGAAATATATGTATTAGACATAATAGAGGCAACATAGATTGGTTAGAAAAGCGGAGTCCAAGAGCTAATAGCTCGATTCTGCAGGCACAAATAGTAAATACAAATAGTAAATACATACACACGCCCTCAAATACTAACATTCAATTTAATAAAGATATAACAGACTCTAAGCCACAATGCCTAAGAGAGAATCAATACAGTTCTCACAGTATTTTAATGGAAAGAAGACACACCATCGTAAATTAACAGCCAGTTAACACTCAGTTACACTCTGACATGTTGAAGACCTTGACAGAACATCATGATGCTCCAGCCACCATATGTAGAGAGGAAGCAACAGAGGAAGCAAGAGAGGAAGCAACAGAGGAAGCAAGAGAAGAAACAACAGAGGAAGCAACAGAGGAAGCAAGAGAGAAAGCAACAGAGGAAGAAACAACAGAGGAAGCAACAGAGGAAGCAAGAGAGAAAGCAAGAGAGGAAGCAAGAGAAGAAACAACAGAGGAAGCAACAGAGGAAGCAACAGAGGAAGCAACAGAGGAAGCAACAGAGAAAGCAACAGAGGAAGCAACAGAGGAAGCAACAGAGGAAGCAACAGAGGAAGCAACAGATGAAGCAACAGAGGAAACAACAGAGGAAGCAACAGAGGAAGCAAGAGAGGAAGCAACAGAGGAAGCAACAGAAGAAGCAACAGAGAAAGCAACAGAGGAAGCAACAGAGAAAGCAACAGAGGAAGCAGTGGTGTCCACGGAGCCAGGGACCCCTAGCTACACCTTCCTCTGATGTACATTCAGTCCCTCCACATAAACAGTGTTCACTTCTACTCAGCCTTTGAGTAGAGGATGTTGACAGGATCAGCGAAACGCTTCTCTTAGCGTCAAGCGAGACTAAAAATATAGAACCAACATACTTTAAAGAGTTAAGTTCTTCAACTTCCATCCTTTTCAACTGATTAATCCTGTGTTAAGGATTATCATGAGATTAATCCTGTGTTAAGGATTATCAACAGATTAATCTTGTGTTAAGGATTATCAAGTGATTAATCCTGTGTTAAGGATTATCAACAGATTAATCCTGTTGTAAGGATTATCAACAGATTAATCCTGTTGTAAGGATTATCAACAGATTAATCCTGTTTTAAGGATTATCAACAGATTAATCCTGTTTTAAGGATTATCAACAGATTAATCCTGTTTCAAATCTGCTGTGAGAAGAGTTCTAACATGGAACTTGTGAGAAGTTCCATGTCAGACGTTCCTTGTGAGAAGTTTCTTGTGAGAAGTTCCTTGTGAGACAGAAACTTTAAGACGCGCTGGCAGAGTGGCACTCTCCCAGAACACCTTGGTTATCCAACAGGGTTCGACTCCCATCACCAGTATTCATATTACAGGTAAACAACGGCTTTTGTCTCAAGGCGATGGCCAGGAACTGCATGCTAGAAAGGGGCAGGGAGGGCCTACAGAAGAAAATTTAAAGTTGGCTTTCTTAAATAAAAGTGACTTGATGTCAGAATGATAAGAGATATGAGGTGCTGATAAGGAGGAGGAAGAGAAGGAGGAGAAGGAAGAAGTAGGAGAGGAGACGACAGATAACACGTGCCAGTCATTATACACACAGCAGATGACATTATGTACACAACAAGTTACAATATACGCTTTACAGACAGCACTATACACAAGGCGGATGACAGTATACACAATTGTGACGTTGTGGTACTAGGAACGAAGCGATCACTAGCTCAGTGCTAGGAAACTGAGCCAGACCACTAGCTCACTGCTAGGAAACTGAACTAGGAGACCACTAGCTCACTGCTAGGAAACTGAACTAGGAGACCACTAGCTCAGTGCTAGGAAACTGAACTAGGAGACCACTAGCTCAGTGCTAGGAAACTGAGCCAGGAGACCATTAGCTCAATGCTAAGAAACTGAAGTAGGAGACCACTATCTCTCTGCTAGGAAACAACCAGGAGACCATTAGCTCACTACTAGGAAACTGAACTAGGAGACCATTAGCTCACTACTAGCAACACACACACACACACACACACACACACACACACACACACACACACACACACACACACACACACACACACAAGCACCCTGGGGCCAATTCTCAAATTAGCCAGGGGGGGGGAATTAGTTGGTTATCAAAAACACCAGCCAATCTTTGTCCCCGGCTCTAACAGGCAGCTTCTGTACAAGCACCGAGAACGATTTGGCACTCGGTGGAGTAGAACATTGTTAACATCTTGGCCCCCATCCAGGCCAGGTCACACGGAACTAGGCACTGTTCTTGCCTATATAACTGGCTCTCTTAAGCCGTCCTCAATTGCGTTTCATCGGAATTTGGTTGAATATATATATAGTTATAGGATGACGATTAAGTCCGTTCTAGAGCCTTATCATGACGATTCGGTCCATTTTGGACCATTATCATGACGATTCGGTCTGTTCTGGACCATTATCATGACGATTCGGTCCATTTTGGACCATTATCATGACGATTCGGTCCATTTTGGACCATTATCATGACGATTCGGTCTGTTCTGGACCATTATCATGACGATTCGGTCCGTTTTGGACCATTATCATGACGATTCGGTCTGTTCTGGACCATTATCATGACGATTCGGTCCGTTTTGCACCATTATCATGACGATTCGGTCCGTTTTGGACCATTATCATGACGATTCGGTCTGTTGTGGACCATTATCATGACGATTCGGTCCGTTTTGGACCATTATCATGACGATTCGGTCCGTTCTGGACCATTATCAAGACGATTCGGTCCGTTTTGGATCTTTATATCTTGAGCCACGTTATTGTGACTCATCGTCAGACTGTGTATGGGGTTAAAAGTGGCATATACAGACATGTATAGTTACAGTGCCTTCAAGAATATGTTGCTCGTACTGAAGGTGAAAAACAAACAATAGCAAAAGCGATAGAAGAAGAGGTATGAATGATGAGAATAGGCCTGGAATTAAGCCAAGAATATTCAGAGAATAAGAAAACATTCTTTGCTTGAAAGTCTTTCAGGGCTGAAATGTACCGGTCAAGTATCAACGCCACTGTGGAGAAATGCTGTTTTTCAGACGAGGAGTCACAATAACGTGGCTGAAGTATGTTGACCAGACCACACACTAGAAATTGAAGGGACGACGACGTTTCGGTCCGTCCTGGACCAATTTCTAGTGTGTGGTCTGGTCAAAATACTGTTTTTTTATGCTTGTCTGACGATATAGTGCCAGATATCCTTGAGCGTCTAACACTCTAAAAAATAGAAGTAACTAAATACCTCTTGCTTGCAATAT